TTCCAAATCCATCATTTCTAAAAATGCACCTAATGGAGCAATTTACCTTTGAGAAGAACATAGCACATCCCAGTGCACTGGCACAGAGGAAGCCAGGCTGATTCCAGTGAGGGCATGCGATCCTGCTCGCATGCTAGAAGCAGGGGGAAGTGGAATGACGCGGCACATACCATTTCAATTACAGAAAAAAACCAAGCGGGTTGGTCTGTCCACAAGCACGATCCTTTCAGGAAATGCCACTAAGAGAAAACAGGTCTTCCTGAAAGAAGTGGGGCGGTCCCACACGCCGGGCACTGTAATTAGGTCTGTTTGGGTGCGTCAGGCCTGGCTGCTCACGATTCCGTGAGGTTTCGCATATTAAACTTGACTCCAGCTGCCCTCTCTCCCAACTCAAATACAATCACTGACCGAATGAGCCTGATGACACTTCCATCCCTGCAAAGGCGGTAGAGGATACAGATATAATTGGCAATTATTAAGCACTTACTGAGTGCCATGTCGGGTTTCAAACCGGTTCATTCTGGTTTGACACCCCATCCCCCCCTCGCTGAGAATCTGCATTACCACTCTAGATAACACTGCCTCAGAATCTGTATTTTCACAGTCTCTAGGTGGTTCTTACAGGTCCCGGAGCAATTCTTATGTGTACATAAGAATCTTGTTAAAGCACAGATTCTGGTTCAGTATATCTGGGGGTGGGAGGGGGGAGGATAAAAATTCAAAGCAGAAGATCAAACTGGAGTGAACTGGTTTAAAGTGCTAGTGCCAAGAGCTTGATTGATGATTTTTATACATTGTCATGTTTTATCCCGAAAACATCCTGAAAAAAAACTTAATACAAGGCCCCAATTTAAGGTGTGTCGAAGTTATCTCAATCTAAAGTGCATGTTTTGTGTACAGTGCAGTCATTTCTGACTCACAGCCATCCCGAGGTGACAGAGTAGAATTGCCCAGAGTGTTTCCTCGGCTGGATATTTAGGGCAATCGAGAGCCACATATGTCGTGTGTAGTCCCTGGATAGGTTTGCCAACCTCTCAGCAGCCAAGTGTTTAACCTTTGTGCTACAAGACTTCTTCTAAGAATGTCTCACTATCACCATTGAGTGGACTCTGATACACGAGGGCCCTAAAGAACAGTGTAGAACTTCCTCTGTGAGTTTCTTAGTCTGTACATTTTTATAGGAGCAGAAAACCTCATCTTTCTCCCAACAAACAGCTGGTGGATTTGAACTGTTGATCTTGCAGTTAGCAGCCCGACTCAGTCACCACTATGTCCCCAAGGCTCTTTCTTAAAACACACAGTCTCTTTCAAATGACTTACTCTCCCAATCTTAGTCCAAAAGGCAAACAGTACTGAAAATGATTCCATCACTTAGAAAAGTAAATTTGAGCTAGCTATACCGAAAGGATCATATAAAAAAACAGCTAGGTATCAAATCAACGAGTAAAAATTCTGAAATGAAATTTGTTCTCAGCTTCAGAGACTTTAAATTAAGGGCTAGTGGAAGTAAGTACAGAGAGCAGTTATGGTAAAAATCAATAGCCTCGATCGCTCTTAGATAGCTTCCCTCAAGTGTTATTCATTCCTCATCCATTGCTTTAAAATGAAATGGAACTTCAAGCTTTATTGGCACTTTTAAATTCACATTTTAGTGACTAATTATGAAATTAATGAAACCCCATTTAAAAAAAAAATCAAGATATTTAAAAATTTAGTTCCAGACTACTCTTGTATTTGCTATTTTTCTTTAGGAGAAACAGAAATTAATGTTCATCTAAAATAGGCCAACTGATCTTTCTAATGGAATTGAATTGATTTGGAACAAGTCCTGTGCCAAGATTAATTTTAATAGCCTTGAAGACCCTTCGAACAGTCCCTTGCAAGGTCATTTTTTCACTCTTGGCAGGCACAGATGCTTGTGCAGTGTGCACTGGTGCCTCCACACTCATTTGTTTTATGCATGAATGTGCAAACATTATGTTTCCAATTTTATTCTGGAATGGTATTTAATTCCATGAGGCTCATGAGTCAGAGTCCCTTGGTCCTATCTCCAACATGTCTACATCCTCCATCCTGCACCAGTTCTGGTTTCTGCACCCTGTCAGATGCAGCCTCCGTGCTAATTTGGAAAACGCAGTTCTCACGTTTAGTGCTGAGAGACTGATAACTGAATTCTCACATGAACTACACAGATTCAGAGAGGAAGTACAGAGCTGTGGACAATGACCGTATTTTCCCACAGTGTAAATTCTTCAGCCTCAGCTGTCAACATGTGTGAGTGTGCTGCACAAAACCAGCCTTCACTTGATGGCTTTTTTCTTCCCAAACCATAAAAAATGAAATGGATACTACACACTCCCTTATGCTAGTCCTTCTTATAATGAGGTTTATTTTTCAGGGACAGTGAAAGCTTGCATCCCCTTCAGGCTTCTTTGTAGATCAAAGTCTCCTTTTTTCCAAACAAAAGCAAAATATTTTCCCTCTCACATACATTTTCCTGTTTCCAGAGAGCACAGATATCAATGTTAAAGGAGTTTCTTCCTACTGATTTTGCTTTCTTGCATATGAAAGATAACTGAGGGTGGGCAGGGGGCAAGGATAAAACACCTACATTTTATAGTAAAAAGATTTTGAAAACATTATAATTTTATCTGAATTAAAATTATGGTCAATTGGAATTGTGTTAAGACAGATAAGTTTGGAGCACAAAGAAAGTTCGTGGAAACAGTGAATTAAATAAGATAATAGTATTTTCCCACTAATTTTTTGAAGGCCTGCTCTCTGCTGAGCATAACAGAATATTGTAAAATGAAAAGAAATTAAAAACAAAACAAAGCAGGGAAACCCAGTTGTTTCAAACTGTTATTATTTAAAGAAAAGTTACATTTAAGTTGAGTCTATGAATAAGTATGTGTTATTCTTGGTTTAAAAAGAACAAAAATATTTCTGGACATGAAGGCTTGATGTTGCCAATGAGTGTGGTAATTTCAAAGAATAGTAAAAATAAACACTTGCAGAAGTGTATAACTAGGACCGAGACTGGTGTGTATGTGTGTGTTTCGATTCTAGAAGCTAATAGTGACTTTTATCATAGTAGGTGTAAGTCAGATGTAAAGTGACCATGTGAGCTATTGGAGGTGAGAAAGCAAACTACCCAGTTATGAATTTAGACATATGGAAACATCCTACCAATGCACAATTAAAAGAAGGGTTCTGGAGAGCTTAAATGAACACGTTTAAAGGCCCAGGAGAATGAATTAGTAGTGAAGAAAAGAAAAAGGCAGTGAAAGAAATGTAAATTAGGTAAATTTCTGGAAGAACATCAATGCGATTAAGTAATGGCACAGGCAGAAGCACTAAGCTTGGAAGCTATGAGACACATCCTTCTCACTGAGACACAGAACAATCAAGTGTCCTGGCAGGAGGGAGGAACTCTTGCTGGAGCTAAGTTGAGGTGTGTTACATATTTTGAATAATCACATTGCAATATGAGGCAATAGCACATAAAACACATGGCCCTTTAAATTAACAGAGATAGAATTATCCAGATAAAGTATTTTGATTTTTCTCTATCAAGTCAACAGAGAACAGAAATAAATACTGTTTGCATTTGTCCAGTACAAGGAACAGGCAAAGCACGTTTCATGAAAGTTCAAAGAGAGATAATCAAGTATCTACTGAGAACATGAGTTCTTTTCTTACTAATGAGTCATGTGAAACTAGGAAAAAGTTCATGGTCTAAGAGATTAGGCAGCTTTAATTTATAAAGTTAAAGACAGATATTATAAATAATAACTGAGAGGATAATTTTGGGAATATTTATGCAAATCCTTTACAAATTTAAAATTAATCATTTAAAATATACTTTTTGTCAGAGGTGAAAGAAAAATGATTTGTTGTAAAAGCTGAACATCAAATTTATTTTAGGTATATACATTTTGACATTTTATGATGTAGCCAAATTACATATATATAACAGCTATCTCTCTATCGATCTTTAGTGTGTGAGAGAGAGGAAGAGAAAGGAAGGAGCCGGTGCTGTACTGGTTTTGAGTTGGGCTGTGATCTGCATGGTTCACAGTGCAAAACCAACAGCAACTCTGTGGAAGACAGCCTTGACTTTCTTTCCCAGTAAACAGTTAAGGATCACGCCCCCCGCCCACACACAGCATATCTTTCTGGTGGTACAGTAGGTTAAGCATGGACTGCTAACAGCAAGGTCCATTTCTCAAACCTATCAGCAACACCATGGGAGAGAGATGAGGCTGTTAGCGCCTGTGAGGATGGAGAGTCTCAGAAACCCTAAGAAACAGTTCTCCTCTTGCCTTATCGGGTTGCTATAATTACAAACCCACTCAATGGTAGTAAGGGAAGAGGTGATTTCAAGAAACTGTGTTCTTGCCCAAAACCTTTGATTAAGGGATTAGGTAAGATATTGGTCTTAATTTCCTGGTCTATAAAATGAGAAAGGTTGGGAAGGATAAAGTAATATGAAATGAAATATTGATGCAAAAACTCTTAAAAATGTGAAAACATAATCAACCTGATATCATTTTCAGTGCTTTGATTTTACTTAAACCATCAATAACTTTCCACTCCTAAAAGATGTGGAAGAAAAAAAACAACCTGCTTTGTGAGATTTGTTCTGGTTTCTCGAGAAATCAGGGTTGATAATGACTTAGCTTAGTTAGCTTATCTTTTTTTAACCCCTCCCCACACACATGCTGGCTCCTCTCCGTGTCTGCATGACCACGCCTACCATAGCTGTCCACTGAGAAACTTCAGTTTTGGCACGAAGCAAATATTATCCTATATTTTTAATCTCTCTTTTCTCTTTTTGCTCAGTTTTCTCACACCCACAGTCCCCAAGTCACCACTATCATTTAGCTCACCAGCATAATAAATCTCCAGCTACATTTTTAGTTGGAAGGAAAATTTCTCCAATGATACAGTACAGTTACTTCATGGCATGAACCTGCGTTACTGGATACACCACTTACCATTGAGCCACCTGGAATCATGCTGCTCTGTTCTGATGGGGTGGTGGTGTCCAAGAGTTCTGAAGATAGCAAAATCTCGCCCCATAAAATCCGCAGCAGTGCCAGAGTACAATTCTCCATCTGTATTGTCACAACATGAAATCAGATACACACAATTTAATTACATTAAAGCAAGAAAAATAAAACCAAACCAAACACAAAGAGAAATATCAGGTTATAACCATGCTTAAAAGAAAATAGAAATGATCTCATCATTGTCTCTCACCTGGTACTTTTATTAAAAGCTGTACTTTATATCAAATAACTGTTCACTGACTATTTGACACGTGTTACCTAGCAGCTTAGGAAAACTGAATAGAATCAGAACCATTGTCTCCATCGCCAGGTGCCGTATGGCCTGTTTGGACCCACAGCCGCTCTGTGCCCAACAGACAAGCACTGCCTGCTCGGCGGTCTTCTCATGATTATTCCTACGCTTGAAGCCATGGTTGCTGGCTCGGCATCCTCCACCTCATTAGGGCCTTCCTCTTTTTCACCGATCCAGAGAGCATTTACTAACTCATGACATTGTACGCCTGCTTATTACTAATTGCAATTGTACTTCATACATTTCTTTTACACATGTCATGCTACTCTGATCCGAATATCCTTATTTAGTAGACTAAGGGATTATCAGTAGCTCCTGTTGTACAGTTCTTATTTTAATAGAAATTAATTTTCTAATTATACTGCTTTATCCATGGATGTGAATCACATCATTTTAAAAGATTTAATATTTTCCTTGCTAAATTTTTTCTTGTATTTCTTCTTTTACACTGCATTATAATATATCAAGAAGGTGTATTCTAACTTGACATAGTATAACATTCAACTCAAGAACAAGTAGCCTCAGATAGAACAGAAATGTATTTAAAAATAGCGACAACTGTGGAAACTGAGGTAATAATGACTGCCTAGGTACAAAAACTGAGCTTTTATCTTGTATTTAGTGAATTACCTATTCAGGTAATTTTTTCACTTTTTCATTAATTCATACCTATTTAAATTGAATTAACTCTAGGCGAGGGTTGAAATGTGGGAAAATCATAATCAGAGGGTAAGGAGACACAGAAAGGGAGGGGAAAGATAAGTTAATATTTACTGAATACCACTCCATGCTTGTCAGGCAGCCAAGGACTGAGCTCGACATTTTCAAAGTATCTCATCTGGTTCTATCAACAACTCCATGATATAAATATTGCTGTCCATATTTCACAGTTCAGGAAACGGAAGGCTGCTCAGCTAATTACTAGGCAAGTCAAGGTGAAGGTTCAAACTCAGGCTTGTTTAACTCCACGTCTGTTACATGGCATCCCCTCAATAAATTGCAATTTCTGTATGTTAGGTTTTATTTCCATTAAATAGTAAGTGTTCCACATTATAGTTTTGGGGAAAATTCATGGCAGTTTATGTATATACAATGAATTATTTGTAAAGCAAAACATAATCTATGAAAATTTCTCCTACAGTTCCCCATAACTTATAGTGAATCTGGATATATTACTGATATTGAAATGAATATTTTATTATTCCTGCAGTGACTGACTTGGAAAACAGGGAATAAAAAGGACATACATAAATGATAACATATGTGTTTTATATAACACTTCTATTTTCAAAGAAATTTCATATTTGCTAGATAAATAGAAAATATGAATATTCTATTATAAAAGCCTATGGGCCATTTTATTCATTGATTCCTTATATGATCGTCTTTATTTACATTTCCAATTACTCCTTGCAAGTAAGGGTCAGTAATAAAGACACAGCTAGTGGTCCGACATTAAGTACTTTTTTTGGTCGATCCTATACTTGTCCTGTTGACTGGCTTTGGACAACATCCAGAATAGTGAAGAAGAGCCGCACAGACCGACATTGAACCGACAGTTACTGTGTTCACGACGAAAACAAAGCTATTTACCTGAGTTGTAAAACACTTCTTGATCCAAGGATTGTAAATATTAAAATCCAAATCCAGAAGGGGGATGAAATTAAAGCTTAAGTTTTGAACCCTCAATTTGTAAATAGCTATGGATGAGAGTGAAAGCCCCAGTCCCATTTGTAATCTCTCACGTGGACGAAGCCTCCAGTGACTACCTTATGGACCTTGGGGAGGGGACGGCCCTGTTATCAGAGTGCCTGGTAGGGTGGATCTTTGCAGTTTCAGCAAGGGGCGAACAGGACAGCTTGTTCTGCTTTCTTTCTGATTGAGTTTGTTTTCTTTCTATTTTAACCTATCATTGCTGTTGGGTTGGTCTTTGTGGACGTTGTTGCCTTGTTTTGATTTTGTATATTTTTTCTGTATATGAAATCTGGATTAGGTAAAGCTATAGGGACAGCAACTGAATTTCCTGGGGCATTGCAGGGGAGGTTGGTAGGAAATGGGGAGCTAATCACAATGAATACAAGGAAGAAGAAATGTTCTACAAGTTATTGTGCTACCTACACAATGTGTTTGAAAATGGTTGAACTAATGAAATTTATGATATGTGAATTATAGGTCCTAAAATTGTTTAAAAACACAAGAAAAGTGTTTAGAAAAAAAACATGCCATGTAAATTACTTCTTTAGTGAAGGGTCATTGTAGTTGTTGCTGTGTGGTACATTCTGTTTCAAAAGTCCCTTCTCTTAATTAAATAGTAAACTCAAATCTGACTTACTCTAACAACAATATGTTGCAATATATTATATCTGACCAGAAGTCAAAGAAAGAACCCATACTAATTCACTAACATTTTTATTTAGGTTAATTTTATACCTTTCTATGAATAATTGATAAATACAAGTGATTGATTTTAAAATTCAAGGTGATAGATGCTTCTTGGTCTGTGTGAATAAAGTGTTAGACAAAATCATTGGTAAAATAACTTAAAATGTTCATGCCAATTTCAAAGAGTCTCATGTTGGAATATTGGTCAGCAAATGCCTGATGTCCTCTGTCTATTGAAAATAAAATCTCTAGATTATTAAAGCACATTGTCTGGAACCATAAGATTGGTCATTGAACACAGACAAAAGAAATTAGGCAACCAACGGTGAAAACAAAAAATCACCAATTTCATATCAGCGTAGACAGAGATCATGTCCTTGAGGGGGGCTATCTAGAAACAGAAGACTTTAAAATATGTCATTGATTCATGGCTAACCGTTTCTGTTTTTGTTTCTTGTCATTTCGCTTGTTATAGGATGAGACATAAATATGATTGCAATTTTCACGTAAACTGGCTGTTTTGGTGAAATAAACTGCTACATAAGTTTGGAAACTTGCTTATTTTAACCATTTTCTAACTTACAGAGTTTTACAACTGTTTATAACAAACTTTTTATCCACTCCCATGTGAAGAATGCATAAATCAATAAGAATGCAAACGTGCAGAAGGACTGAGTTTCTTTCTCTTGTGTAACAGATGGCAAGGTCTTCAGAGAAAGGCTCAGGAGAAGAACTACTGACTCAATTCATTATAAAAAATAGAATTAAATTACAGAATTGTCTAGAGGAAAGTCAAGTGCAGTTTAGAGCCTAGTTGCCCTCCAGTCATAGAAAACTCCCTCCCATCAGAATATTATTGTTGACTAGAGTCGGGGTGATTTCTATGAGCTGGAGCATATCAGATGATTAAGTGGCCATTCTGATAGTGTTGGTGCTCTGTATTAATAACTGTGTCTTTGTTCTAGGTTTTAGATCAGATTTACTGTTGAGATTTCAACGGGGAAGTCTTTTCCAAAAAATTATAGAGTCTTTGTTGTTTTGACCCAATAGTATAGGTTGAAGCATTTCCTACTTCTGCATGTTCTTTAAGTAGAACTATAATATCAACCTAGGGTGTATTTCATCTAATATCATTAAGCACTTTCATCACAGGTTAATGACTTCTTACTTTCTGTAACTATCTAAAATGATCTAAGACACCTTATTATAAGAAATGCAGTATATGTATGTTGGATTTGTTTTGAAAAAGACATAGCTTTAATAAAAGCCTACTATAGTTTCTAGGTCATTAATGAAATTATCATAATATGTTGACCCTTGTGTTAATTATGTCAGTTTTTATGACGCTCATAGAACTTTTCTTGATGATCTCAAAAAGTATGTTCGGTGAATGTTTTCAACACTGTTTCAAGTGGCATTATGATTCAGATGTATATTTGGGTATTTTCCATATATAATAATGCATTAGTGAGAGAAAGTATGACATGGAATTTTATTAAACTGATGGTAGAAAATAGGCTCAAGTTTTGTTATATCTATCAAAAAAAAGTGTAGCTTTATATACTCTGTCTAACAAGTCATTAAGCCTCTCTAACAAATTACCAGATAGGGAATTCAATGTTTCAAAAAGAATTCATTGGTCTAAGATAAATTAGTGCTGACAGATGTGTAATCAACCATTTAGGAATTGTCAAACATAAAAGCTGTATTTGAGAATACTACCATTTTCTGAACTGTGAGCTTTCGTAAGCGTCTCTAAGAACAGCCTTCTGTACTGAGATGAACAGAATTTAGTGTATTGCATTTCCTCTATGGTTGAGATACCAGGAGACACGTGTATTAAACAAATGTTCATATAGATTCGTCCTGTCCTAAGCTCCAAATGAAGTAAATATATGGCTTAGATCGGCTAGTGTATTGGATTACAATTCCTCAGAAAGGTGTGGTAGGGAGAAACAGAAGGCAAGGGGAAAAGAAAACATTTCCTGATGAAACTAAAGCAGTACTATCACAGGTGAAAAGTGTGACATGGATGTGAGCAAAAATCAAACAAACCCAAAGACCAAGCCATTATGTTGTTAACACCTTAAGTAAATTCCATTCAGAGAGTTACAGCGTGATTAGAAACAGAAGGGGCCAAAGAAACTTCTCTCTGGGTGTCTCACACACGCAAACAGCCTGGGTGAAACACATTTCCTTGATGTGAAAGGGTGTAAGAAAGGTCAATGTTCTTGCATTTTTATTTTTCTTAGGCTCTTTGTCTATTCCACCGAATGGAATGTAGTGTCTTTGCTACTAATTTTGTCCCTTTCACATGAATTTTTTATTAGTTTAAATGTGCATACAGTGAAAATTCAAAATATAAAATCTA